TCAAATGGAAAAGATAAGATTGTGACAATAAACATTCAAACTGAAGATAAATATTGAACTATTTTAATTCTGAGTAAATGGCATAAAACTTAAGCACAGCCATAGTGTGTCAGAGAAAAGTTCAGCTAGTCTCATGTTCCGTTTCTGACAGCACATGATAGCGTTAGGAAAGTCTCTAAGAATAGGACAAACCAGAAACACTGTATTGGTGTTAAACATCCCCAAAGTAATTTTCCATCTGAAAATTTATCCAACTGCTTTTTGAACAGAAATGTGTTTAGTACAAGTCCTGTGATGAGGCACAGTTTACCAACAAGGCATGTGCAGTGCAATCCCTCTTGTTCTTTTGAGCAATCTTCCTTTCTGTTGCATTTGACACCTGCCAGCCCTTACACCGGAGAGACAGAACATTTCCTTTTCTGTCCCCTCTTGTCTGTTCAGGGTTTTCTAGACCTCCTCAAAAGTACAGAAATAGTTTCCCCAAATGTGCTATGCTGGTGCAACGGACAATATTTTTTTCAAAATTTAATCCCATAAATTTCAGGTTCCCCTACTACATGCTGTTGATTCACTGTTTCATACACTGGAGCATCAACAGGGACAATTTAGCCAGAGCCTTTGACACAAACCAGTTTCCCAAATACCTTATTTAAACAGAAGAGAAAAAACATCAACTCTCACTTTTAACCTTTGGATGCATGCAAAATCTACCAAATTTTTGCAAAAAGCTGGTTTTTTTCTCTAGTTACTTCTTTTTCTTTTTACCAAGATACTTTCCCTGGAGTTTGTCCCATAGCCTGCCCCATGGTTGTGGCACTAATAACGCTACCCTGGAGAGCCCTAACATGAAACAGAAAGAAAAACACAAGAAAAAAATTAGCAGAGGATCCTGGTGTCGAGCAACTTGGCAATATTTTCCTTAACTATAACCTTAGCAGATCTCAGAACCCTATAACGTTAGGCAGCTCTCTCCTCTTATATCCACTGACATTAAACATTTTAGGCTTTCTGGATTCACACTCTCCCACTATACTGCAAATACGAAACAAAGCAGCCACCTCTGCAGTTCTGTGATGTGAACTCACTTTTCCCAAAGGAATCACAATGCTTTAAAAAGTAATACACCCAGATGCACATCTTTCACTGGAATAAACACCTGCAACCTGGTTTCGAACCCTTCCAAACCATATTATTAAGGATGACAGTTCTACCACAACTCAGAGACCTGAGACTGGGATTGACAATGATTATTAAAAAAAAAAAAAAGATGGCATGGAGGGTTAGTCACTCCACTTAAAAGAAATGTTACATCACTCCAGTCATCAGCACCAGGGCGTACACCATTTAATCTGGCAGCTCTTTGATGGCGTAATGCAGACATGTGCCTAGGGGCTGTAACCAGTGGGCAGCTAAGTGATGACAAGCTGGTGGTCAGGAGAGAAACCAGCACTTGGAGGGGCAGGAGAGGAACAGGAAGGGTTGTGGGCAGCAGACTAGGGAAGTCGGTTGAGCCAACCAGAGGTGATTCTGCTGTCATCCCTCACCAGCACCTGGCCTGGGCTCACTTCAGCTCTTTCCCCATAATCTGCAAATTTCTCCACTGCCAGAGGTCAACCAGTCCAGGAGCTGGAGATCTGTAACCCTGGGCAGGTACTGGGAAAATGATCTCTGGGAGGGGAAACAGAGTTGTTCTCCATCCCAGAAGCATTCCCAAGCTTCCCAAGGGGGTAGAGGAAGAGCAAATTTTATCAGATTTCCTGAGTTTCTGTTTGCCTTCCACCATCAGCGCTCTTCAAGTCTCTATGGGAATACATGGGTGTAAATTGGTGCTGTAGGTTTCTAGACTTATGCCACTAGCCCAGAAAACAGGGTCTAGCTGCTTGACCCATGTGGACTAGTCTATACAGGAGGCTACACACACCACACTGCTCCGCTGCTCAGGAATAGCAAAACTGTTGTGGAAGATTGTCTGGAAACTCAGTCTCCCAAAGGGAGAGTTGGGGGGCTCCTACCCTCCAGCCAAGTGGTTAGTAGACTTCAAAATCAAATGTGCTTCTTTGCACTACCTGGTAGGGGTCTGGTGGACAGGGTCCCTGACTGGCTGAAATGGGCAGTAAAGTACCATTTCTTTCCACCTCATGACACTCCTGAGTCCTGCCTAATCACAGGGAAGCTATCTATTAACAGTAATGAGTATTGCTGCAGTCTCAATGGACATAATGTTCCAAACCTTGAGCACAATCAGCTTTACACACATCACACCATTAAGCTTCTTCAGTGAGTGGCATGGTGACAAGAGGAGTGGGCAAAGGCAGCGAGAGACACCGTCTCTAGCACGGTTAGTGGAGAGGAACTAGTGTGGGAGGGTAGGGTGGAGGACAACCACAGATAAAGCTGGAAAGGAGGCTGAGCAGAAGTGTGTAGGCCCTGGAACAGTGTTTGATATGCTGTGTGGAATAACAGGGTGGATTATTTATGATGGCTGTTGCTTCTGTGAAACCTGGTTCCCTTTCCAGCCCAGCAAGCCTATAGATATTGGGTTGTGCTGGAGCAGACCACTGCCAGAGCTACAAGGCATGCCAGGATCTGGTCCAGCTCAGCCTGATTTTCAATAGTCCTCACTTCTTTTTAGTAACATTATCTTCCATTTTAAATTCAGATGTATCACAGTGATTTAATTACAAATAGTTTATATTCCAACATAGAAGCAGTTTTGGTCCTCATACAAATTCAACCCTAAGTTTATGGCAATGTTTACAGATACCTCTACTCAACTCCAACATTTGAATTCTTTCTAAAAGTGATTTGCATTCAAGGATCCTACAGCACTTTGCTTTAATGAAGCTACAGCTGAGCTTGGTGGTTACCTCCAGCTGTGTGTTTAAACTGTCTCAATCTTGAGTTGAATCAGTGCCAGTGAGCAGCTACATTAAGTAAATTTTAGAATTCCTGTATCACATTGTCATTTATGTCTTTTCTTACGCTAAGTTACCTCCAGTGCACTGTCCATAGTTACCATGTTCTTTGTTTTGGTCTGGAGCCTCAAAGAACAAATAAATCAAATCTTCCAAGCTCTCTCCTGAAAACTCACTGGTTATCGTTTACAGCTCAGTACTGATTCCTCTACTAATACTTGTGGAGAAAAAGGTAAAAGGAGACAGAATCTTCATGTGATGAACAGATGTAAGCAGTGGAAAACGAAAAGGGAAGGTAAATCCTGAAATTACGTTTATATGGATAAAGGGTAAGTGGGAGTAGGAACTGAAACTGAGGAAGGAGGATTGGAAAGAGATTGAACAGGGAGCAGAAGGTATGGTATGGGTTGGAATGAAAGAATAAAAAGGCCTAGAGAAAATGGGGAACATCTGAGTGTTCAGAGAGCCCCTGGACGCTGCTTTCCAAAATCTCTACATTCCTCTGCTGTGAAGTTAGCAGTGAAACCCACTGACAAAGTGAATATCTCATCCCACATTTATTCCTCATCCAAACAGGATTGATAATGGGCATGATTCTACATCATAGAAACCTAAGTTTAAAAAAAAGACACAAAAAACAATGAACAAACAAACTACTTGGCAATACATTATAACAATGATCACATTCCCAATTCACACATTCACACTGCTAGTAAACACCAAATTCAAGTTTCTTTCTTCAACTTTAGATTGACTGTCTTCTACAGAGGAGATACATCAGATTCACACACTAATGCACCCACATTTTAATGCGTTTCCTGGATTTTGGGTGTTGGTTTAGTTTTTTTTTTATTTTTATTTGCAACTTGTCAACAAATTAAAGTAAGTTCTGAACAGTAAAACCAAAATAAGGCTTTAAAAGTGTGTTTTCCAGAGTCAAATTACTTGAGGTCATCAAACCACTCACAGAAAAGACACCTACTCAGCTCTTGCTGAGATCCTCTGTTGAATTTGTGAACTTGTGCAAAGCTTTTGACACTGTCCCACATGATATCCTTGTCTCTAAATTGGAGAGACATATGATTGATAGATAGACCACTCAGTGGATAAGGAATTGGCTGGATGGTGACACTCAAAGAGTTGCAGCCAGCAGCTCTATGTCCAAGTGGAGAGCAGTGAGAAGTGGCGTTCCTCAGGGGTTGTTGTTGGGGCCAGCGCTGTTTAACATCTTTGTTGGAGACATGGACAGTGGGATCGAGTGCACCCTCAGCAACTCTGCTGATGGCACCAAGCCGTGTGGTGTGGTTGTCACACTGTGGGGGAAGAGATTCCATCCAGAGGGACCTTGTACAAACCTCATGAAGCTCAACAAGGCCAAGTGCAAGGTCCTGCACATGGGTCAGGGCAATCCCAAGCACAAATACAGGCTGGGCAATGAGTGGATTGAGAGCAGCCCTGTGGACAAGGACTTGGAGGTGTTAGAGGATGGAAAACTGACTCTGGGCCAGCAATGTGCACTCATATCCCAGAAAGCCAACCGTACCCTGGGCTGCATCAGGAGAAGCGTGGCCAGCAGGTCGAGGGAGGGGATTCTCCCCCTCTGCTCCACTCTCGTGAGACCCACCCTGCAGTGCTGTGTCCAGCTCTGGGACCCCCAACATAAGAAGGACGTGGCCCTGCTCAAGCACATCCAGAGGAGGCCATGAAGATGATCAGGGGGCTGAAGCACCTTCCTTATGAGGCCAGGCTGAGAGAGTTGTGGGTGTTCAGCCTGGAGAAGAGAAGGCTCCAGGGAGACCTTATAGTGGCCTTCCAGTACTTAAAAGGGTCCGACAGGAAAGCTGTGGAGGGACTCTTTGTCAGGGAGTGTAGTGATAGGGGTAACAGTTTTAAACTGAAAGAGGGGAAGATGTAGATTAGCTAGAAGGAAGAAATTCTTTCCTGTGAGGGTAGCAAGACACTGGCACAGGTTGCCCAGAGAAGCTGTGGCTGCCCCCTCCCTGGAAGGGTTCAAGGCCAGGTTGGACGGAGCTTTGAGCAACCTGCTCTAGTGGAAGGTGTCCCTGCCCATGGCAGGGGGTTGGAACTAGATGGTCTTTAAGGTCCCTTCCAACCCAAACCATTCTATAATTCTATGAATTTTACTGAGGTTTGCTCAGGAGTGAGCATCATGACAATTCTGCTTGGTGAGGCCAAGGAGACACAGCACGTGGCTTCAGCCGGGAACCATAGCATCTTACTTCAAGTGCTCTCCAAGAGGAGAAAATGGTTAAGATCCTTGCAAGAATATCTGGGACTTTCATAAGGACCAGACCAAAAATACCGGCAGTCTGGATTTTGGCTTGTATCTGATTTCTGAATAGCCCTGGCATAGACTGATATCAATATTGTGGCTAGTAGAAGATTTGTACATTTGAGAGGAAATTCACTGAGCTGAAGGTGGCTGTCTCATGCTGGTCTGTGACGTGCTTCAGCCTAGCGTGGAATGGCACAAATCCTGTACGGGTGGGGCTGCAGTGTACCCCCCAAAATGGGTTCTGTGTTGATCTTCGTCACCCCCTCGGGGAGCCGGAAGGTGAATGCCCGCAGCAGGCTGGCAAAGAAAATAAAGAGCTCGGTCCTCGCTAGATGCTCCCCCAAACACACACGGTGCCCTGCAGCAGGAAGAGGGGGAGGATGGTGAATATCTAGGAATTTTTCAGTTTCATAATCATTTTGTTCATTCTTGTTATAAGCAGAGGGGGTTTTTTATTCAAGGCCAGGATCATTAAAGCCACAGAACTAAAACTCTGTGAATTCTTTCTCATAAAGGTCCCATTGAATGTCATAGGTTAGGAGACACCAAAGGAAAATCTCAGTGAAAATCCCTGAGGAACCACCATCATTTCTTTCTTGATGTTGCTTGACCTGGCAGAAAATTACTTTCCTTTTACAAGAGATGTTGAGCTTCAGGGTCACACACAAAGAATCTGCCAGCTGTTTACACATGCTTTCTTAGTGAATTAAAGTCAGCGGATCAAAATTACTTAGCAACAGCATTTGCAATTGAACAAAGGCTTGGTCACTTTACAGGCAAAGCAAGAGGCCTACTGTTAATATCCAAGGGTTCCTCATTGGAACCAATTGCGTGAGCAGAATAAGTGAGTAATACATTCACATTTCTGGATTAGCAAACAAATAAAAGGAAAGAAAAACCCACTTGCGTTAAGAAATCACTCCTGGATGGACATCTAAGTGACTAGTCTGCTACATCAACCGAGAAACTATACCAAACCCAAGAGTTTAGGACATTTACTGCTGTGATCTCTGTGCACTGTTGTCTTATTTCCTTCTTTTGCAACTAGATTTTCAGTTCTGTAAGCAAGAACTTAATCCTTTGTTTAGCAGGATGCATTCTGCTTTTCTTTTAGCTTGTTCCTTCAAAAGGGATTGCAAGTAACTCCAATACACACAAGACACATTGCTTCTCAGGAAAAAAAAAAAAAAAAAGTACATATAAAGAATACTACAGACAAAACCCATGGATGACTGCAGCAGCCAAAAGCCAAGGAGGTTCAGGAGTTCAAATGGGATTCCCACTGCAGTGTCCTAAGAACAGTTTGGGGTCTCACAGCACAGAAGCATCTCCCTTGGCAGAAACAAGCCAGTACTGTTCTTTAAAAACAGCAAACAGCAGAGACAGAAGCTGTTATCTGAAGAAATACTATAGTCTGACACTTCTGTATTCTTTATTTAATCTGTTGGGTCAGATCAAACTGCCAGTGCATTTACCTGCTGAGAATGGTAAGAAGGCTTCCCGAGATACAAAGTTTCCTTCTTCATCCAGAAAATGGCCAGGGTTGAACTGTCGAGGTGTCTCCCATTGCTCAGGGTCATACAGAACAGATGCTATATTTGGTACAATGATGGTGCCCTGCAAGGAAGAAATTGTTGATTTAGTTCCAACTACTAGTCTCTCACCCATCAGTTTCTTCCAGGCAGATAAAACTGCTGCTTGTTGCCATTTCTTTGTAATTAGTAGATATGCTGTGGTTAGAAGACCATTTTCCTAGAAAATTGGAGTTTGTGATCATTTTCTGAGTTGGAAATTATTGGTTCTCAGCCCTGCAGTTATGTCAGTGGGTGTTAACAGTATTAGTAATGTTGGTACCACTACATTGTGACCACTTTTATTACTAATCTTAGCAACACTTCTAGTAAGACTCTTCTGTTGATATTCAGGTCCCAGCATTGGAAACCTCTTTTCAGGCTTACGAGAAAGAGAAATGCATCTAGAAACAGCTGCAATACTTCACTGACAACAACCTCTGAGCACTTTTTGCAGTAGTACTTGAAGGTTTTTCTTTACTGATTGTTCCCAGCAGACCAGTTCATGTGCCTTAACTACCTGGCTGTCAGAAGCAGACAGAACAGAGTGAAACCTTCACCATAAAATCAGTCAGGTGATGCCAGTCCCAGATGCCAGTAATGGTGCTGGCCTCTCCCATCTCTCTTGCAATAAAAGCAACCAATTCCTGTTTTTAACTAGTGTTTTACAGTGGGAACTGTCAGCCAGCATAGCTTATGTTACTCTAAAAAATGTCTTCCTGCCTTTGAACTTAGGCAGTATTTGGGAGCAACTCCCTCGCTGTCAGCTGTAGCTGTAGCTGACAATCTCTCAGCTGTTACAGATTCAGCCAGGCCCCTTTGCTCATGGAGTCAGTGGAGCCATGAGCCATCCTCCCAGAAGTCTTCCTCCATCCCTGGAGTTCTGGCAGTGCCAAGTTGGGCAGGGACGTCTTAACCAGTGCTTTGGCAAACCAGTTTCTCCTCTCAGTCCATCCCCAGCCAAGCAGAGCTGGTCTCTGCAGTTGTCCTGTTGATCAGCAGGGGAGGAGCTCAAGGCTTGTGTGGCAGGGGTCTTAGCAGCTGTCTGAGCACCAATACACTGAGTGAGAGACTTACTTCATTCCCGAAGCCACAAATGGTAGACCTTCCCCAGGCACCATGTTGCTGGGTTATATGGAGAGTAGTTTATAGATGGAAAATGGATTCTAAAACTGGAATAAAGCTAAATGTTTCTCTGCTGAAGAAAGAACAGATGCTGAAAATATGTCTGTACCTTTTTGAGGGGGAATCCTAACAATGTTGTGTTCCTCACACACACTCTGGGCATGCCGACAAAGACAATGTTGCTGAAGCGCTGGATCTCATGAACCACAGCATTTGTATACGGCAGTTCTCTCCGATCCTTGTAGCAAATTAACTGGGAAGGACCCAAAACAGCATCCAGCTCCTTCTGCACTTTCTCTTTGGAGAAATATTCACCATTTCAGATAGGAAAAATGCATAAAATATTTTAACTGGTTTATTTTCTTAGAGCAACAGGAAAACATATTATTTCAACATAGTACATTAAATCTATAACCTGTGATTTAATATGATTTAATGCCTGTTTAATACATGAAATTAAAAATAAACAGAAAAAACCCTCTAATAGTGTGGTCCAGAATCATAAGCAAGGACTTATACTATACTTATTCCAGCTCTGACATATATCTTATAAAATGCTTGATGGGTGTAGGGAGGGTCACTTAGCTCCAGGTTTTGAAGGTATTTAGGGATTGCTTAGTTTATCTCAAAACCTAAATCTCATTTGCAAAATTGATATAAGTGCCTCAGATATTAATTCCCAGGGCAAGGGATGAGTTGAGCAGAGTTGGTCCAGGTATGGCAACATACTGTATGAACAAACAACACCTGAATCAGCGTAAAACCTTGGAAGTAAATATGCAGTGACACAGACTTTTCAGCCTCCTACTGAGGCTGCAGGAATACAGGCATATCCCTTGCTTCCAGTGCTCAGGCACAGCAGATGGAAGAGACACCAGTCCCAGAAGCATCCGAGTCCTCCGTAAACCCTGCTCATATCCTTTCTCCTCCTGACATAGATGCGGATGAGGAAACTCAGCCTGGATCTACACGGGCATTCATAGAATTGATGTTAATTAGATAAGCAACTTCTTTGCCATATTACTTCAGACAGGGACAGTTTGTGTGTACTGCCAGCAGTTCTTGCCTGCAAACACCACCTCTACGTATCAGGCAGCCAGAATCCTCCCCTTAAACTTTTTCTGTTTCTACAGTCTTTTCATCCCTTGCAGATGTTCCATGTTCATGTTTTGTTTTCTCCTAAGGTTTGTGGGCTGCTTTGTGAACTAACTGCAACAAACATCACAGGTTATTTAAAGATTAAATGCTAACACCATCGTCTGGTTACACTCAGAATATGCTCTACTGAAACCTTGAGGCCACCCCTGAACAAGCCATATTCCATGGATGCCCACTGCCTAACCTTGTGCATGAAGCACTCGGCGAACACAGAAAGGAGTCACTGCATTCTTGTAGGAAATATATGGATTTGCACTATGCAAATTATCTTGCAATTCTCTATCCGGTTTCCTGACAAGAAGGATACAGGGAGAGGCAGCCGTTTCTACCAGGACCATTGGCCTTCCTTAGGGCAACCTGCAGCCCTACATAACCTGCCAAGATCTGTCCAGCTGGTTTGTCCAGTAAGGGATCCAGGGGGCTATTAGGACTATTGGTGTGCTCAGCAAAGTGTTGTTCTAGGAGGAGAAGAGAGCATATGGTGACTTGTGACAAACACAGCAAAGCTGTGTTAGCACTCCTCATACCTGAACAATGTCTGGTACGGACAGGACTCATATTAGAGCTCTGATCTCTGTTCCTGCTGCCATCAGTCAGCCTGCAAACTCTCCACACAGAGCACCTCACTGACTTATCACTGCAAAGATCTAACTTTCATCTCACTGCAAGTGCCTTCAACCACCCGGTTTGGTCAGGTCATAGGATGCTTCTCTGATTTTTCCCTCTGCTGCCATTCTTTGTGTTTTCAGAGAGTGAGAACCAGGCTCAACTAGTGGCTTTTGTGCCTGCAACTCATTCTATTCAGCCATCTTTAACACTTACAGTACCCACAGCATTTCACAGCAAGAATCACTCTCACCTTGGATGTCCGGATTCACTACCATAAAGAGCAGTCCCCAGTACAATGTTGTGCTTGAGGTCTCTGATCCACCGAGGAAAAGATCATTTATAGTATATACCAAATTGTCCTCATCATACTTGGGCTTGACCCCATCTTTAGACTGTAGATGATGATGAAAAGTTGAAGTTAAAGCATAAAAGTTAGGTCATCCTGTATGCCTTCTGTGTGAGAGTCCTTATTTCCACAGATGGCATGTGCACAAAGAATATTCAAAATTAAAGTTTTTGATGAATACTAAGAGATTAATAGTTTCCCAAATGGACATGGAAAGGCTGCATTGCTCTTCTTCACGAGGTGGAATATTCTTTCATTAAAAACCAGGTCATTCTATGCCATTATTACCACATTATTACCACATACTTTGTAGTAATTCATTCATGTAACCAAACATAAAACTGGATGCCTTTCTGGGAGACACGAGTTAGTAAGTCCAAAGCTACTGTATTCACATTAAGAAGCCTATGAGATGCAGGAAACTACGATAGAAGGGGTCAGACTGGATGATTGAATGGTCTATTTGGCCTTATACTCCATAAATGTGGTCAAGCAGAACAAACACTTACTTTCTCCATCTCAGCCAGGTAAAAGTCAATGAAATCCTGTGGTTCGTTTGGCATCCCTCTCTCCACATGTCTTCTGATCTCCTTCCTTGCAAAAGAGCTCAGGACCTCATAGCAAGATAGTGCTTTCTTATGAGGACCGGGGAGACGGCACATCAGCCAGGGGAAGATTTCATACAGCTGTGGGAGTGACATACAAGAGGTAGCGTGAATTATCTGTTGGTAACGAAGCTGCTTTTTGAAACACCAAAAAGCTGAATTGTCCTGTCTGGACTACTGATGATAATGGAATAAACAAATTAGCATTGCTTTGACTAGATTTTTGCCATCACGTGGGAAAACTTTACTAGTAATTTTGACACACTTCTGGGGATGTCAACAGAGATGTCCCCTAAACTTGTAAAGAAACAAGAAGGTTCTTAAAAATGGCCTCAAAACCAAAGAGGCAGTAATAAGGGCCCCAAGGATACCTCTTAGCTTCCAGTTTGCATTTGTCAGTTGCTCTGTATTTAGTGAAGACCCATTTTTGTATCCACACTTTCATTTTTTACCTATCTCAGGAAAAAAAAAAAAAAAAAAAAGGTGTATTATTTACTCACCTGATAAACAAAGCTTCCTAGAAATCTGAATAAATACTCTGTGGCACTGATCAGTTCAAGGAAGGTTTTGTCCTCATCAGAGAAGTGATATCCAAAAACCAGAGCACAAATTACATTTGAAATAGAATGGAAAAGAGGGAAAGAAGGATCCACAGGTCTTCCTGCAAACACAGTAACTGGTATTCACTCTCAACATTTTCTTCAGTTGTTCCTTATACAAATAGGACAAGATGCTATTAGAGATTACATAAAATGTTCTCTTTATCCAGCTGGGGCATGAATGGGGATAGAGATGTGGCATTAATAGGGATTCATGAAAATAAAACACAGTCTTAGAGCAAAGGACACTGTTAAAACTGTTTCTCCATAACTCTAAAACAGTCTTGTAGCCCTTCCTGTGAAATAACATTGTACAACTAAAATCCATTAGAGGATATCATATCAAAACTGCTGTCCTCAGCTGTGTGGAAGAAGACAGGTCAGAATGTGAGAAGGAAGAAATATCACTGGAGATGAACTAAGAGAAGACAGTGACAGATATGTTAAAAAATGTGAGGATCTACTTAGGAGGAAAGACTGAAGGAATTTAGGAGGGTTTAAAAAGCAGAATAGATGGATAGGAACTGCAAATTATACATAATAAAATTATTACAGTCTCAGCTGTGAATAGTAGATCATCGTATCTCTGTCTGATGACTTTTTCAAGTTATGAGACAGACATTTATATAAAATTATTTGACTAGAAATGATCCTGGCTTGGACTCCAGGATGAACCTGATAATCCACTGAAGTTCCCTTCCACTTCCTACTTTCTTTGATGCTCTTGCCAATAGTTACTTAGCCAGACAGACAGTAAAATATCCAGTTTACCTGCCAATGACACCTAATGTCATTGAAATTTAGAGAAATGACTAAGCTCTGCAATACTCCTTAGTTACCTATTGTAGGCAGTCTGTGAATGGCTTGGCTGTGCAGTTCAGTGACATCATATCATTGTACAATCATATAATAGACAAATGATAAGCCCATGGAGTTAGAATTTTGGAAGTTCCCAACTTCACTGGGTTTATGAACAGCTTTTTAAGAAAGAAATTTCCACTTGTGATACTACGGTCTATCTGCTCTTTGGGCTTTGGTAAGTTTGAATATACCACTCTGGATCTACCCCAACCCTAGAAAGGGGTAGGTAAGTTTGCATACTGAAGATATAGATACAGGACTGAAAAGTGTCTGATTTCTTAGCAGATAGATACCTTTTAGGTTCACAAAGAACTCCACCAGGTGAGAGGCCTCCTCTTGCACTCGGTACTCCAGGACTTTTTTCCCCATTCCCAGACTGCGTAGAGTCGTTACACCAAAGCGTCTCTGCTGCTTCCAGTGGTGACCACTTGCCAGTATAATACCTGAGAGTATCATATACCTAGCATGTTAGTATTTGCCATAGACACAAATTTTAAAATGTATTATAAAATACATGGTGTAAATCAGGGAATACACTGTGATACAGGTATCTTTAGGTGAAATTATCAGTAACAAGAAACCATAACCAAGCATACCCAGACTATAACTAGACCACATGTTCTTAATATTGATTGTAGTTAATGTTTGAGAAGAGCTATCTAAGGATTTTCTGACCGCTCATTTTCTTGATGTCTTAATCACCTTAATATGCCATTTTAGAAGATCTCCTTTAGCCATACACAAGTGACCATGCTCAAGACAAGAATAACTGGATGAATTTCTTCAGAGTGGTATACAGGGCCAGGGTATGTTTATGGAGACATAGATCAATTAATGTGGTGCTTTGTAGGTTGAGGTGATGAAGGTGAAGGGTAAGTGACATTCTGTCCTTGTTTCTCCTCTGAAAGGGAGACCAATACACTGACTGATAAATTGCACTAGTAGTTATCTGAAGAGCCCTGAACTGCTGCTGTGATGGTGGTGCTTTACCTAGCTTTAAACAATCTGTGTTTACCTTGGTATAGAAATGCAGGGGAGGCAAAAGAAGACTGTAACCTGATGAAATACACTAAGGAGAAGTGGATTTTCATGTGTCAGAGGCACTCTCACCATCAAAGAGGATTCACCAAATATCTAAGAGTGGCTACAAACACAGCAGTGGGACTTCTGAAGGAGGGGGTTATAGTTCTCCGGCTCATGATGGCAACCCTAATATATACGGTAACCAAACATATAAACAAGCAAATTGGATTATTCTGTAAGGAGGGTAAGACTGCTGAGTTCTGAGCTGGGACCACATATATCTTGAACACAGCAAAAGGTCACCTAGAAACAACCTGATTTGGAGTGTTTCCCAGACTTTGGAAAGCTCCGTACAAAAGGCATCACGGCAAATAGTAAGTTATTGTCAAGATCTAATGGAAGACTTGGACAGTATCTGATGAAAGAGCATTCTGAACGGGAGGATAAAGGGTCTAACAAGGCATAGAAGTTTGCCAAGTCAACATTCCTGTGAGCTATTTATGGCAGGAAAATCTTACCTTTTCCTTTGGCTAGTGCTCTGAAGAAAGGTGACACCATGCGCCCAGAAACATCTTCAGGGTGTGTAGTCATGCCATCCTTCACTGCTTGATATCCATTCAGTATGATCACTGGGTGTGACCCAAACCACAAAGTATATATGTTACCATGAGTTTTTGCCAGCTGTAAGTGGAAAATGTGCCAGAAAAAAACACATGAACCCCCACACATCTCAAACAGACACTGCACCTGCTATTCACTGGCCCAATGGCCAGTTTTGTGCTGAGAACGTCATCTCCATGAATATAATCATAGCTAGAAACAGAAAGGGACTGTTGTTTTTTTAAGAATGAGGCTTTCAACAGCCAATTTTATTTACCTGGGGGAAGTTATTTTCTTTTCAAAGCACAGGCTGCAGCAATACTTCATCAAAAGAAAGGGAACTTTGTATTTTACATTGCATCCCATCCAACCCCAACATTTGCATCTCGTTAGTTGAATGGCCACACTCTGCACCTCTCTGGGGCTCTGTGCTTCCTTACTTTGCAAAAGGAAACCAAGTGATTAAACCTGCTCCATCTGTGTGCTCCAGGAGAGGAAGTGGAGCCAGAAACTAGTCAACAGCCATGAAGTGCCAGGGGGCTGCCACTGAGTCCTGGGTTTCCTCACAGCACTGAGGAGAGTACTCACCATCTGAGACAGCAGAGGTGTCCAAGCAGGGATGGGTGTATGACAGAGAAAACTCAATCATTTGTGGAAAAAACTTTGTCCAAGAGTGGGACTCAGCTCCAGCACATCCACAATGATAAAAAAGAGGTGGTAGACAGTGTCTAAGGTGCCACCAGAGTTACATCCAATCGATCACACTAGTCACTTGCTTCTCCTTATAATTCTTTAGATACGGGTTTTCCTCTCCCAGTTACAGCATCACTGCCTGTCTGAATCTGCAGTGCATGCAATTATCTGTGTGTGCTGTCTCGAGTACAGATCTGAATTAGATGTCATCTGCAAACCATTAGAAGTACTTCCAGAGTACAGGAGGGACTGAGATGGCCTGGGGAGGAGCAGGTGTCTCTAAAAATAAGTGGCAAACAAATAGTTTTAAGGAGCTGATGGAAAATGGGGAGTGTATGCCATTTCTGTATTACAAGCATACATACGCATGCACCGTGTTACCTACTTCATGATCAAATTAGACAATGCCAGCGCATCAGAATTGTTAAAAGTAACACATATGGACTTATCAGTAATAGAGTAATATCTTTTCAATTATTCATATTCTCCAACTTTAATAACAAGTCAGAAACTCTGTCCCCAAGTTTATTTGATCCTTAAGAACATTAAGTTTGTCAGTAAGATGACATATTCAACATAAGAAGGTGACCTGAATGCAGGAATCAAGTTGATCTTTTTATGTCCATACCTTGTCTGTAGCTTTCTAAGACTTAAAAACTTCACGTTGCTATTAACACATCAGTTTTGTTTAAGCTGTAACTATAATTTACCAATTAAGAGCCCCTTAAAATAAATACCTTCATCAGAAGATCCCGATGAAACTGAAAGTTCAGGTGCACCAAGTTTCCAAGCAACGGGAGAGGAGTTGGTCCAGGAGGTAATTGCTTGCATGCCTTTCGCAGTTTGAAAAACTCAACAATTAACAAAAGAATTATCAGGACCACAAAAGCTTCACTTATTGTCATCATTTCAGAGCTGATTTGTCTCTGTCAAAAAGAAGGTAGTGGAGCTTGGAAAAGGTGATCTTCCTTCTTGTTCCACCAGTTCTCTCTGCAGGCTGAGTTCTGTAAAGTCCTGGTTCCTTTCCCTCCCTCTGTCCCTCCCTCTTTATCCCTGCCTGCCCTTTTCCTGCACCCCATACATTTCCCATACTGGGATACATCAAACTGATCCCAGACAAAAAACATACCTAGCTGCTTACAGCAAGTCACAGGGTGAAATGTGGAATTGCTTTTACACAAGTTACTTGTCTTGAAGCTTGTGTTAAGGAAGTGCTGGTGTGTATTGTGAGATCTGGATTGGCATGACACCAGGTGAGAGTCCTTGTTGACCACTGGATATACAAGGAGTTAAACTCAGTTTCATCTGCCTTTGGAACTTTAAAAACAAACATAGTTGTTCATCTCCGAATCACTGAATTCAAATTATGAATGTTACTTGTCAGTTAGAATAGGTTAGATTTTGCAGGTGCTTTAGTCACAAACTTTATTTAACTGATCTTTAAATGTGGTTGTAAATTCAGATTTGCCTGCCAATACACACAGTTCATGCAGGCAAAACCAACAGTAGTTGCAGACTAAGCACGCAATTAGAAGGCAAAATTGTTACATGTAATTTCTGAAAAACTGGCCTTGAGTGTTCAAACTTTTTTTTACAGTAAATGTTAAAGAGTTTCATCAAGTGAGGATTAATGACATGGAGATAATGCTTAAAAACTCACATTACAGTTAAGTAATAAAAAAACCCCAGAATATTAAAATTTGTTATATTTTAAAATTAAATATAAGCATCCAATTGTAATTAATTTTTTTTTTTTTTTTTTTTTAGTATGCTACCTAGTTGAAGGCTTCATTTGTCTTAGTTTATTTCCTACACTTTTTTATCCATTTCAGAATCCTGGCTATTATTACCAGTTATCAATCAGTTCTCAGGACACATCGAAAATCTGTCCTCTGATAATGAAGGGATTGACACCTAGTTTGAAACACAGATGGGAGAAAGCACTGTGTTTCAATTACCAGAGGATCCTATCTTGCATTGCAAAGAGAAAGTGTCTTCACTAAAAATAAAGTACAAGTCTGAGCAAGAAATTGCCCTGCCCTCCAACACACATATAAATGCAGTATTTTGCAAACCTGGCGACATTAAGAAAATAATGTGACTCAGTGATATCAATTCATCTCCTTCATTTGGCAAAACTTTGCAGCTATTGTAGGTACCTACATGCCTGCATTACACAGTGAAGACAGCATAGAAAAAATAGGGTTTTATAACCTTATCTGTGCAAAAGGAAGAGAACATTATGGCCAGCATGTGTGGGAAGCAGGCAGAGGTGAGCTGCATGGCTTTGCTAAACCCAGTGCAAGTCAGGCACAACTGCCTACTATAAGGCTGAAATCAGCAAAATATAAAATCAGAAAAAATTATTTCTTCAAACCAAAATATCAAGTTTAAAATTTTGAAAAAAAAAAAAAAAGGAAGAAAATTAGTTCTGTGCAGACAGCTGAAGTCAGAAGAAATGCTGAATTACATAAATTTCAGGAATAGACTAAGTACAATCATATTTGTCTCTTATCTGTTTGGTCAATATTCAATTGCTTAGTTTTAGACATTTCATACTTGATGTAGTATTTTGATGTCAGTAAATGAATCAACTTCTTTCAGAACATGGGTCAGATTTAACTGGAATCAAATCACCAGTGTCAGAAGCAGGATGAAGTCAAATGAGCGAGCCAGCAGTTTATCCTACCAGATGTTACCATCACCTTTCTTTTTACTGTTTTCAGAATTTTCCAACTGTACAAAGCACAGATGTGTGAATAGTCACTTACACCAGTGCTTGATGTACTGGAAACAAAATCAGGCTGAGGGATCTTGTGTTGTCATGGATCCGTTCCTGTCTGATGCCTCCTCTTCTGGACACACTATCATCAATATTTGCTGGGTTTGTATTTTTGGCAGAAAACTCAGCTTTCCTAAAAGATAGTAACCCAAGTAAAGTGCAGTCCAAAGAAGTGGACCCAATGGGCAAGAAGAGCAAGTTTTAATGAAAGCTATCAGGAAGCTAAAGTTTTGATAAGATTTTTAGCAAACATAAAAGCACACTGTGAAGTAAGTTTCAGAAGGTGAGTGCAATGCTTGAAAAAATAAAGCTGTGCAGGTAATGTGTCAATCAAACAAGCACGATCCTGATATCCTTGAGCAAGCAAATGTTTAATTTTAGATCTGGGACATCAATACTTAAATACTAAGATTAAACTGCAACACATTTGGTAAGAGGGAATGTCAGGAATTGGGATCTCCAACACAGAAGAACTGTTCATAGATTGGGAACAAAGTAGCAGCCAATTGCTTTGAATGAAGCTTCAAATATATAAGATTTAGAAGTGGAATTTGCACAATACATTGCTATGCTTTTTAACTCATCAGCAACAATTACCTTCAGAAACTTGTAAAATTCACAACGTGGAATGTGCCCAGTAACTGAGAGCGTTAAGGCTGGACTTGAGGTGGCCCAAAGAGTGAGAAGAAAACAATGTTAATTACCTTAATATCAAAATAAAAATGGGGAAAGACAACAGAAAGGGGCTCGACATCCCTGATCCAAACTGCTGTAAGAACTTTTCCTGCAGAGAGTTTACCAAAGAGAAACGTAATTTGACGTTGTCTGGGAGAAATTATTGGGAAACTGGTTAATTCCTCTATGTAAGGAATAGGTGAATGAATTTTTCAAGATGTATTGCAAAGTACCTGAGATCGTGTCCATAATTTCTGCATAACAAACCTGAGGATGCAAACAAAATCTCCCAAAGTGTTAAGAAAAGCAACAAGAAAATATGACTAAAAAAGATGTTAGAGGTTGAATTCTAAAGCATGACAGAAAAACAGATTTATGTTTTTACAGATGAGGCTGAAAGCAACATTTTTACATTAGGATACTTTCTGGAGGACAATGGGCACTGTGTTAGTGAGTGATTGTAAGAGTAAGAGTAAGTAGTGTGAGTAAGAGTAAGTAGCATTAGTGAGTAAATGAGGGTGTACAGACCATTTGGAAAAAAAAATTAGAAGTTTGAAGTCCACAAATACCAGCTTTTTCAAAAATGCCTAAGAGAAGCACCAGCAAAAATATAGCAAAAACTGTAAAAATGCAATGCTGATGTTATTAACTAGAACAGTTCATCATTTCAACCTCTATCAATGATTTCTTCACAGCACTACTAATGACTGCCAAGAATAAAGAAAAGCATGATGACAAGACATAGATGGGAGAGCACTTTTAAGTTGAGCTAAACAGACGAGCTCCACAAGAGACTCCCACAAAGTCTGACATGAATTAATCACCCAAAAGTGTATGTCATAATAGCTTGTCACAAAAATTACACAGAAGTTAAAATTCAGGAGAGCTGCAATTAAAGAGTGAATGGATGGGAAAATGTTGAAAGCTTGTACAGACCACAGGTAAAAATAATTTTTATTGACATAGAAATAGGGAAAAACCAACAGGACAAGGAAAATATCATATTTAGATACCAAAATAAAGACACTTAAAAATTCACAAGAATTAGCAAAACTCACAAGTTAAAAACCCCGAGGGTATCATCATACATGGGATAAAGGAACCGGATGAGGCAAAGTTAAAGCAAGAACAGCAGCTGACTGCCCATGTTTTTCACCCTAAGAATAACCAAAGAAAGCATTACATACCAAAAGGTGTTCATTATACAGTCTTAAAAAATCACAGATCAAAGAAAACAAACTCTATCATAAAATAGATTAGATAAAGTTACTTGTTTCCTTTATCTGAAAATATTACAAATCTGGTTGATAAAGCGTTAGTATTGAAGTTACATTGCTTAATGTGTTTTTCAATTACCTTAAACCATTAATTTAAGAAAATCTAAAAATGTTGTTTATAAAGCTTGCAAATCTCAAGATTGAGACAACAGTGAAATTCAGGAAGCCAGATCATTGGCAGAGATGGTGACCATTGGGTCAGTGGCAGCGCAGTCAAATGTAAAGCCGCACAACCCAAAGCAGCTTGTCCCAGAGAAAGCGGGCAGACCAGGAGTTAGATGCGATCTCCTGAAGTGCTGCACTGAGGGGTGCAGGAGTCTCGGCACCAAACCCACCTCAGCCACATGCAGGCCAAGGACTAACGAGTGCCACAGCCAGCCTCACCCAGTGAGGGGGCAAAAGGGGATTTGGAAGACACCTATCTCACCGTGCCTGACCGAGAGATCCCCAAGCATGTCCAGACACACCAGGGACAAACTCTGAAGCAGAACAACGGGCACCCTCCAGAACAAAGAGGTTGACCTCAGAATAGCTCCAGATGGGAGAGGATGGCTCTGAGGACGGCATTCCCCTCCCCCTTCCTGCAGTCTGACATGAGCTGGTCAGTCTGTCTTTTTGTTCAGAATAGGCGCGTTGCAGAGAGAGTCATTCTCAACTGAAAGCACCAGCTCCAGGGACTGACGTGACATAGCTACATCTTTTCAGCACAAAAAAATGACAATAATATTTGAGACAGAGCTTTACTTAGGATGGTTGGATCCAATTTATCAAGCAGGGAGCACTGCAGATGAGTCTTTCACTCTTGGCATGTTCTTCACCAGGTTGAATGCAGATCGTAAGCTTGGCAGATATGTGCCCAGAGCAACATAGGCAAGAATGCAGCCCTCTGGTTCAAACAAGAAAGAAATATAAAACCCACAGCTTCCAGAAAAGCCATATGCAAGAGAAAGCTCAAAGGGAATAAGCACCTGGAGAAGAAGCACAGTTTTAACGGGCTGCAGGTGTATGTACCAGGGATTGCAAGATGAGAAGCAGCTTTTAAAACAGGAGAAGACTTGGAGACAAAGAAAGGCTGAGATTACAATAATGTACAACAGTGAACAAACAAGCTAAGGAACAAACATTGCAAGACTTGAAGATTGCAAGACTACGATGACCTCCACCCAGTCTTTGTCTTTAAACAATTCATACTTTCAAAACAGGGACATCCAGCAGTTTACAATGTGTATTCTTCTAAACCAGCATTAAAAACAAAATAAAACAAAACAAAAACCTCAAAATATAAGCACTGACCTGTAACTCCAATGTACTTTATACAACACTAAAAATAAG